TTTCGGATTATTTACCGCTCTGATTATTTGATAATCTATGATTAGCTCTTGTAGCAAGCGAAACCTTTATTCTTATCTTTATTACGTCTTTACTTTTCAAGTTCTACTACTGTACTACATTTACCTTCCTTATTAGTATATATCATTCAAATTTTTCACACATTAGAAATCTGTGTACTAATTACCTTCCTTATTTATATATACAATTAATACCTGTCTTTTGCTAAAAATGTTCCATGCTTTATCCCATTATCACTTTCCTAATTCTTCTTCTATTGTGATCTGAATCTGCTTTGGCCCGTGCATATATACTTGATCTATAAAGATCTTAACTTTATTCATACTCTACTACAGTATCATGAATATGACGTTATACATTGTACTCCTTATTCAGTATATTAATAAATAACTGTATTTATCTTATTAACAGGTTTAAGTATTTTTTTCCACTTCTAAATTGACCACGTCAATACGATAGATAATCACAATCTTCATTATATTATCTTATTATACTCTATTCTAATTATTTAAGTTTATATACTTCGATTTTCATTCATTTAAACAATCCAAGTTTTCTCTATTATCTTTTAATCGATCTAACCCAAAATATCTTTAGCAAGTACTTTTAACTTCTATATTTATTTAAAAATATCTTCAATTTAATGTTATCCAAATCATACGATTAAAATAAAATCACTTCAATATCAAATCTCAAATGCCTACATAGCCACCTTTAATCTTCTTTCATATTATTGATTTAAATTAAGCCACTTTCTCCCTACTATCTATTCCTTACCCTCGATAAAAAACAAAGAAAATTTAATCTTACTAATCTTTATCATAATCAATTACTTTTTATCTAATAGGCCTACAAAATTTTCTTTGTTCTTCACTTATTCTCAGTACGATATTATTTCCTTTTTCTTTTCAAACATAATTTTCTTATAGATTATTCTATATACAATAAATACTTGTAACAATACCCATACTCGCTTTCTACATTCGTTATAATAAATCTAATCAATCTACATAAAATTAAATTACAACATATATTGAACTAAAAAATTTTTATCTTCATAAATAAATCACTTTATTGATTCTTATCTAACTCTCCTGATAATATTCTATTATTTTTACTAATCATTCACGCTATACCACTCCTTATTTTCTTTGAAACCTGTTTCTCTTGCAAATTTGTATTCATCATTTTCTCAAAAAAATGAGTCCACTACCCGATCTATATTAATACAATAATCTTTTTCCTCTTTATTCTTTTGAAATTATCATGTAATACAATAAAATTTATCTAATATTTAAAACTATAAAACCTCCACTATCTAAACTACCCTGCTAAAACTTCATTCTATCTATAAATCAATTAAATACTATCTGTTACTTACGTTTCTCCTACTTAAAAACTTCTTTAATAAAATACTTCTTTCAAACATGTCTTCTTTATTCATTGCTTTTTGCTTTACCAAAAATGTTACTGGAAGTGATAAGTATATTTCAGGAACTGCTATATATTGAGCAACACATAATATTGATGAATTTCGTGAAATTACCTTTAAAGGTTTTACTGGCAGTCCCAATTCATTGATTGTACCCTTCGAGAAAAATTGTATTCTCTTATTTACTGGAAGATATGTATATGAAGATTTGGAATATGTAAATATTCATTATTCTTAATTTTCTTCTTAATTCAAAACCAATGTATACTCCTAATTTTTCACTTATCTCAAGGTCACTTTGGTTCAAACTGTTCTGCTTTCTTATTCAGAGGGTGATTATGTTTTTACTCCTGAAGACCTTCCAAATTCATCTCCTTTATTAATTTATTCTGCTCCCGTTGTACCAAACTCTTACATTCCTGATAATAGAGGAGGACGAGAAAGCTTTACAGTATGTTAGCAAGAAGTTTATATAACGGGGTTACTAGTAATAATTGTATCTTATATAAATGAGCACAATCAATACAATGCTCTAAAAAATAATTTAAAAAAACAGTCTTATATGTTATTGGATGCTTGAAAATTGGACAATCAAAACTTCCACATCTCATCACTACCAACATTGAATGACTTATGTTCCTGGTGATTCTCCACCCTTAACTGCTTCTACTACCATGAAAGTATCTTCTCAAGAAGAACTCGATACCCATCTTGAAAGTATGCTACGCTAACCTCTCAAGTTCCTCAAAAAAGACAAAAACTTAATGTATAACCCTCACTTACTAAACCTTTAAATAACAAATCAACATCTGTCAATTTCCTTGAAATCATCTCTCAATTTCGAAATCAACTACCTTCCAAGGAAACACCTTCTTCTGATCATTCTCCTCAATCCTCTACTTCTCAATCTATATCCCAAAAACCATCTAAGAATCCTCATGCTACTTGTGTTGACAATGATGATGATTCTTCTATTAGTACCGCTCCTTTTACTGAACCTTCTAAATCAAATATACAAGATACAAATATTGACCTTAAAGATAAATATTCTAAATTATGAGGTGTGGTGACTTAGTGTAGTGGTCTAGTTGTCACCCTCTCCAAGTGGCAGGTTTAGAGTTCAAATCCCACAGACGACGAATTTTGAAAAATAGGCTTGCATTATGGTTGATGGTTATGATTATCGGTTGGATCTTAGATAAATCTGTAACTTCAGTCACACCATCTAGTAATGGGAGCAATGGTGCAATAAAGCCGAGGAACCAGAATGACTGAAAACCCATTTGGGAAGTCTCGAGCTAAGAAATAGTAATGATCTATAACAGTACTACATGAGGGCTGAATTCGAACCGGGGCCCGAGATTAGATAACCGAATGACCAGGTTCTAATAGCGAAGGACACACTAGCTGAATCACTGGGTTCTGTCGCGCCGGAGGAAAAGGGCATATGCTTCGAAAGTATGTACCAAGGGAAGGGCATCTCTTAGGCACCTAAAGCCTGAGCAGACCAACCCTTCAGGATGCTAGCTGGAAGTAAGGGAGAGACCAATAAAGAATCTGGGTAAGAAGACGGTACCAAATGGGGGTATTGGGATTGTTGTGAACCTTAATAAAGGCAAGAAGTAGGTAATACAAGGGGTTCAATGATTAGCCTTGACCCCGAGTACATAGGTCAAGCTGTGGCGTTAAATTACCGTAGTCTGGGTAAGGCACATAAGTGAGACAGGTGCCCTAGCAAATAGGCGAGTACAGGCTTTGCATTGATCTGGCAGATAACCCTCCT